GGGATTAAGTTGTAGCAACAAATGTTACACTCAAGATGAGACTCAGACTGCCTTTTCCACACTCAACCTCTCATGCCTTTGCATGTTTTTAAAAATTTCTCTTCTAAGCTCCCAGAATGAAATTTTGTAAGCTTTTTGCATATGAATATACTTTTTAAAAGCTGCATTCCCACGTATTTCAAAGCATTCTAAGTGATTTTAAAAGGACTTAACGTGCACAAGGAGCCCGTAGCAGTTGCACATTAACTTTTCACCAACTCCAGCAAGCAGAAAATTAATTGCTGATAACAGATTAAAACCAAAGAGCAACAACAAAACAATTTACAAAAGTTAGAACACTGTCACAGCCAAGCCAGAAGGTAGAGACCACTACATGAAATTGATACAAACCAGAGCAACTGTACATTCATCAGGTCTATTCTAAAAGCTGCACGCCCAAATTTAAACCAGCACAATATGCTGAGCAGTAAGTAAAAATGTGAGCTACAAGGGAGGAATGTTCTTAAAAGCCTACAAGCAATAAAGGCCCCCTTGAATGTCCCCATGCTTCTGACCAAGGTGGGCTGCATTCTCATAATTGCTACTAGACCAACCTTGCTAACTTGTCTCTAACCTGTCCTGTTTCCCACCATTCCATTGTACTTCCTTCTACCTTAATATTCTTAGTGCAGGGTCAGAAGTCTGAGTAAATAGATATCCATTATACCTACAGGAATAAGGAGAATGAAAAAAAAAAGGACAGAAAACCCCACAGCATTTTAAAACTAGTATTTTTAATGTCAAAAATTAGGGGTTTATATATGCCTTTGCTTTAAAACATACTTCAAAAATGAGCTTATTGTACTTTTTTTAATGAAACACGAGCTTCTTTCACAAACTCCTCATTAAGAGGTAATAATTTTTTCTTATAGTTCTATTGCTACGTTAATGTTTTAAATGAGTTACAAATATCTCACTTGTTCTTGAACTGTGTGGGAGACCTCACGACACCCAATACATGGAATGCTTCAAAGTAACAAAAATCCACAAAGACAACTCACGTGTTCGAAGGCTAAGGGTTGTGGGAGACAGTGTGCATTTAATTTTTTAAATAGCAGAACTATTGACATACAACTCACCATCCCCCGTGGTCATTCCTAATTTCATGGAATTTGCTCAACAAGACAATCCCAAAATGTGGCAAGAGCAACACAAGAAGATCTAATAATAAACATTGAAAACCCCTCCCCATTTTTATGAAAATTTTTCCTGTACTATGAACACACTCTAGCTTGAGTGATTAATGTGCCATAAGGTCCTACACAAAGAGAACTTCTAAAGACTGTTCGGTCATGGTGCTCAACATGACCAAAGGACAAGGGGAAATTAACACACACAGGATGATTCAGAACATCAGATGGAGGGGCAAAATAAATGTCCAGTCTAGTTCTTCTCATGCTGAGCTCCACCACCCTCTGAGGCGTATACTCAGTCTGCTCTGCAAAGGCAGCTTCAGGAGAAGGGCAAGTGCTTGTGTCCCTGGATGTCTGGCCACCATGCCATGATATCCAGCTGCTGTGGATCTGGAGTGGACTGGAAACAGGATTCAAAACAACAAGAACTCTGCCAACTGTAGTTTACAACCCCCCACACTGAAGAGCTGAACAAGTTACCACCTCTTTGAGAGAAATCCTGCCAGTATTGAAGCCATTATACTGCACAAGGAAACCAAGAACCAACCACCAGGCCAAGAGCAAGTAAATCAATCAGCAAAGCATGAACACCACTCTCAGATCTAGCCACCAGCTGGGAGCAGAGAGCCATCATAATCAAACATATGTCCAGCTCAGACAGGGTTTTGCTACCAAATTTGATCAATTGTAAACCCCTGCCTTTATGCTATTGGTATAATTTTTCTTTTCTTAAAGCCAGAAGATGAAAGTCATTCTGCTTGCATTTCTTGGTTCCTTAGTCTCTTGTGTTCTAAAATAGTGTGTTCACATCTGGGTCACACTTAAAAATGCTCAGTTTCTCCAACAATTTCTACTGGATTTGTAAAACAATTCAATGTTTTCTTTTTGTAGAGCAGTTTTTAAAAGTTTATTTTTCCAAATGGAGTCAGATACTACTGTAATTTTCACAATTTGAAATATATTTGTACATTTCAAAGCAACCCTATCCAATTATCAATGAACCCTGTTCTCTGGGGAGAACATTTAAAATAGAAAAATAAGAACAAAATTAAAAAAAAAAAAAGAAAATAATCTGGTTTACGGGAAACACAATGACCTCCAATTTTAAGACTAACAGACATCAGATTCCTTGCAGACATTTGTATGTATGCAGAAGTTTTTACTGCAATGCTAATGACGAAGCTCTCAGGCCCCCCTAAGCATTTCTAGCTCAAGCACGTACTTGCAAACCCTTATCGGAAGGAGACACCTACTGGTAGCAAAGATTAGTGTAGGCGGTAAATACCAAAAACTCCACTGATGCTCCTGACAAATCTAAAACCTCCTACTCCTACCACAAAATAAATATTACTGAAAAGAACCACTGCAAAAGGTAGTCTATCAAAGACACAGCTAACATCAAATAGACAAAATTATAACAGTACTTTAGTAATGTTTACAGAAAGGAAAGCATTTTATCTAAACTATACTTTTTATTATCAGCAAGCACACAGAAAGCACCATCAAATAGCTAATTGTCTGGTTTTTTAAAAATCACCAAATATATAAAGTAAAATAAGAAATGGCAATGGACAATTCTAGATTAACATGTCATCTTTATTTGTATTTCCAACTGCTTATCCAGCTAAATAATACAGTGGCCCTCACCTGACTGTGTTTAAAGAACAAAGGAAAACGAGTCAGGCCTCTGCTTTATTTTGGGTTTCCTTAAAAAAAACCACAAACAAATAAAACAACAAAAACCCCACATATAACAAGGCAAAATTTAAAACTGACTACAGGCAAACCTTGGCACATAGCAGGAGAGTTTTCTACTTTAAATTATTTCAGGTTATCTTTAGATGCAATCACCTTTTAGAAGATACTGTAAGTGGTAGACTCAAAAGTCATTACCAGGGATGTTGTCAAACACAGGTCAATACAGAACAGGATTCAACTGACTTAGCAGCAAGCCTTTTGCTTAATTTTAACTGACTGAAATGAAATAAATACTATTTGAAAAATTAAGGTTTTGGAAGAATTTTATTTAAAAATTAAGTTTTTTTTTTTCTTAGTAAATCAGGAACTGAGTTTCATCATTAAAAGTTTGTTGCAAATATCTTATTCCACATACAATATGTAAAACTTGTAAGCCTGCCTAATGGAAGTCTGCTCTCTGCAGGTGAATAAATTCCAGCACAAAACACCTGATTTGAAAGCACAGCTGCAGCTATTAAAATAGCAAATGGCTATTTCAAACTCTCCAGTCTCACCTCATCTCAAATAAAAGTAATAAAAATAAACTATCTTCTCTCCAAACTGGGGAGGAACAGTACAGAATAGACCAACACACAAACAGTTTCTAGGCAAAACTATCAGTATCAAGAGAATGGGAGCAGAAATGCAATAGTAAATGTGTCACCTCTAAACTGGTGTTATCAGAAGCATGAAACCAAGAGACAAAGAACAAACAATGTTAATTCTGCTCTTCAATTACTTAATATAGCAATAGAATTGCAGGTAAGGCATTTTGTAAGCACAGAATAAGCTTTTGGAGAAACAAGTTTTGTGGCTGATGACAGAGCGTAAGGACCTTTTCTTTAACAACAGCAACAGTCAAATCACAGCTCTTTCCCAAACTCCACTTCTTCTTTCATGAAACAATTTCCGTAACTGGTTTCTACCATCTCATGCTAAACAGGGATTAAAACTGCAGTTGATTCCAGCCAGCCAGCCCTCTTTCTTACTGGACAGCTAGATACAAAGTGCACATGGTGGAGTGGGTTACTCATTACAGATCGTGTTAGCATGGGACTGCACTTAAAAACTAATCTGGGACCACTGCGTGCATAAAGGTGTTCAAAGAGCATGGGGAATCCGTACATGTGAACATGGCTGGTGTGTTACTGGAGGTGCTCCATTCCAGCCCTAGCTCAGCTCACCCAACTTGCCAAGGAAGGAGCAGAGCATGTATAAACAATGCAAGAGCTGTAAAAAACACTAGGTGCTTTTAGTAGTTCAATTGTTACATCACATTGCCTAAAAAGTGTTCCACTACAAGAGAAATATGTATCATACCTTTTCTGGCTTACCAGCATGTGTAAAAAAAAAATCATAACCCACTCTCATAACGTACATATGATTACCTCAATCTAGGAGAAAAATTAGTAAAAGGTTATTTATCAGACAATGATGCTCCATTAAAATATATTAAAACAAAGCATAAGCCAATATACATCATAATAATCTTTTATTTGTTGTAATAATAAGAAGCATACATCATTCCATTAAGTGCAACTCAAATTGTACACTAACAGAAAGATCAATTCAGACATCCATGAACATGTCACAACAGGTTTCATTACATTTTGCTTTGCTGGTATTGCACTTGGAATGGTTTTGAAATAAGGCACAGTAAAACCAAAGTCATTTAGTGCTTCTACAGCAGATGTCTTTTTTCAAACACATGCTACATGACAAAAAAGTACTTCTATCTAATGTACGTACACACACAGAGAGAAAGAAGGAAGCATGCACTACAGGATTTAGATTTCAACATAACTTGTTATTTCATAATATACAAAGTAGGTAAAGATGTAAACAAATTGCATGCACATAAACTACAGCAAAATATTTAATACAGTATCTGAAAGCTATTATGCTTAAATAAAAAATATAACTTATTAGTACTCAGATTTATGTGCCATTTTCATCCTGTAGACATAAAAATTCTGGGGTGGGGAAGGGATTTATGGGTGAGCAGGAAGGACTTTCCTGATTTTAGTGGGTTTGTTTTTTTTGATTAACACATTGGCAGCAGGACCTTGGCAAGACAAATATGGCTTTCACAAAGCAATATCTAATTGAAACATAAGAAAGCACAATTGCATATGGGGTCCAGCATCCTGGTATTTTCCAGTCAAGAACAAATCAGTATGATCTAAGCTTCGAACTGGGAAAGCTATGCACTCCAAAAGAACTTTCTAGAGACATTTAAATTCTACAAAAGCCAGATACTTTGTCAAGTGTAAGCTCAAAAAACTACACGCAGAAGAATCTGAATGACTCAAGCTTCGCTTTCCACTTCAAATGCTACTGAACAGGTTTCTCTCACAGCTGCAGTAGCTGAAGTGCTGTCAGATTGTCTTCAGAATTAACTAGATGCCAAGAATGGGTTTGCGTATTTTCACACAAGCACATAAGAGATTAAGTAAACTAACTGCATGATTTTTTGTTTCACTTTATCTTTGGCACAGGATAAACCATTTTTCAAATTAAACACAGGACATGTCCCACTCTATTATGCTGAAAAGGCACATTTGGTGTTGCCTGGTTGGCTAGGGAAAACTTATTTTGCAAAAGGCACAGTGTTTAGTGTGACATTCTTTCTATATCCCCAAAAAAGTGTTTAATTAGACCAGAAACAGTTCTACATAGTGGCTTCCCAGAAGCTGTCCTTTTTTCTCAGCCACTGCATTCATAGCTAGATCCAGGCTTGGAAAACTCACGACAGCCTCTCCACTGGGCTGGCCACTGAAGTCGTGAAGCATGAGGATGGAATCTGGGTGGAGCTGCAGTGGTACAAGAAGACAAAAGAATATAACTATTAAGACCAGAGACCACACCTGGAAATGCAGTTGTTAATGCTGTGCATCTGGTTCACTCCACTGCTGTGTCTATTGCATAAAAAAAGATTGGATGTGAGAATGGGAAGAAGGGATGAAAGAATTCTACTTTCAGTTTGGCAAACAGGAGCAGCTCTTACTCTGCTTCTGTGCTGAGCACAGTGTTGTAGGCTTAATTCCATGCAAAGATTTTGCTAGAAAAGTAATTCAGATTAATGGTTGATAAGAAAATAAGGACTTCATGTTAATAAAGAGTAAATGGAGCAAGAAAGTCCAGGCATTCAATGAAAAATTCTTGTACTATGCAGTTACTGGCCAAGTGACAAAAGCATGTGAATACTCACACACAAAGTTTAAAAAAAAAAAAAAAAAAAAAAGATAGAGCTGTACAAGACCTCTGTGTTAGAAGGATGAAGTGAACTTAACACAGGTATAGAGTACAAGAGATCGTTCCGCAAAACAAAGTAAAATTTGGTTCAGTCCAACTGAATTAAAGAGGTCTTTGCTGTAATTTTAACAAAGCTAAGAAAAAAGCAGGATAGCAAATGAGATTATTTAGTATTTGGAGTTGATTTACTTTAAAGTGCATTTGCCCTCATGAATTCTTAAAAATACAGTTCCAAAATGTTGGGTTTAAAGATGACATCCGTCTACCCTATGGCACCAGCATAGGCAGCTATTTCTTATAACACGCTGGAAGTCCTTCCAAGTTAAGTTTGGAAACACTATTTGTTGGATAGAAATGGATCTCTGAAGTTTCAAAACCAAAGGCTGAAGCATCGGAAGCTCAGAATACAAGGTTGGTTTGCTGGAGAAATCAGCACCAAACAAAACACATACTGAAAAACCAAACAGCTTTATGTGTAATAGCCCAAACCAAGTTGAGTTCATGTGACATATGTCTTCATGAGTTTATAAAAGGTTAAAAAATTTAAGGGTTAAACTTTTTATAGAATATGTGCATGCCAGGTATACTGCAAAGAAATGTCAGACTTCTTAGTTATTTCCCATAGCACTTTCTGAGCAGCTTTACATTCAAAGATAAGAAAATAAAGCAAGTAACGCTACCCAAACACTTGTTAGGCATTAGAAGTATTCTTAAGATATAAGCAACAGTACACTTTAGAAACTAAAAGCAGGTACAAGACAGTTAGTACAGATTTACTTTAATTTCTTCTCACAGAACCAAAGTTAATTAGGAAATAGCATGCAGAAAGAAATTCAGATATAAAACACACCATGCCTGAAGCCTAGTTCAGGTTTGGAAATAATCTTGGTCTATTTCAGAATAACACTGTGCTCAGTAAGAAAGTTGCACACAGTTTGGGTTGAGCCACAAATCCAAGATAAAACATGGTCTGCTTTCAACCAGCTCTTTGCTGTTAATCCATATTGAGTCATTTACCATCAGTCCTGGACATAAGTTAAATATTGCAGTTTAGAGTTGGCTGAAAACAAACATGGAGCACATTTAAACCTGTAGGCACAGAGGAGAGCTTTAAAAAGTAGTTCAAATAGCAGCACTGATGTAATACCAATATCAGGATTTGGAAATTCACATCATAAGAGTTCCATAGAAAGTTAATAGAGAAGCCTACATGTTCTGCAAGCAGCATACTTAAAGTAAAATAAAGCCCTGTTTGATACTACTGAGGACTGCTTAGAATTCAGGATGAGCTACTCCATGAACTGTTTTCTAGTCAAAGACTGATTTCATCTCATGCAGTGTACAACCTGCTATGCTGCTGATTTATTTTCCAGTTACTTTGAGTAAAACAAGAGAGCCAAACAGATTGCCCAAGGTGACATAAACATACAAAATCTCAGGGTGATAATGGGTGTTCTGTATGCCACCAGATTATGCAGTCGCAGTATCTTCTCCCTAACTGATCCAATAGTATCATGAGAGAGCAACTCATTTGAAAACAACAGAAGTGATGGTGAGTATATGAAGATTACTCTATCAAGGCCCAGTATCTAATTGCCATTTTTTGTACTGAAAGTTTTGAGGGTTTTTTTGTTGTTATTTTGTTTTGTTGTTGGGTTTTTTTGGTGTTGGGGGGGGGAGTTTGGCTTTGGATCTTTTTTTTTTTAAGGAAAAAAAATACAGTAACTGGTCAGTAGCATTTTGAGTAGAATACAATAGTACTGGCACATCACAAACTCCAAATTCTCTTTTGAGAATTTTCATGTTAAAATATTTTTTAAAATTATGTGTTAGTACCAAAAATGCAGGGAAATTTACCATTAGCAAATTTAGTCAATTGCATTAGAAAGCCACTATACCAAAGAAGCTTCTCCCCCCAAAAAAGAATGTAACAGTTTACATTGTATCAGAGAGACCAAGAAACAGATGGCTATATGACACAGGAAAGAAAGTCAGAGGTCTGAGGGCTTTTTACACTCACACTTGTGTGTGCTTTGTAGCCATATCCAGAAAAAAAAAATAAAAAGAAAAAAGAAAGGTAATCATCTGCTATGCTAAAAATAAAATACTGCACTGAAAGCTTCACATACAAATCAAGGACTAATAAACCCTTCCAGAAATTTAAACACATCATCTACGCAGAGCCAGGCAATCACACGACCTCCACCACTACTATCTCATCACCTACAGATCACAGTTGGCCTATTTCCTTAGGTTAGTTGACTTTCTGACAAGGCAAAGGTAGAAAGATTAAAGCAAAAATGCCAATGCAAGCTAGGAAGGGGAATAAGCCATAAACAAGAACTTTACCACTAAGCCCTTCTTTCCCTTCCCATTCAACACCGAAGAAGCAGCTTCTGCCAGATGATCTTACCTTCTTCGGAAGTTACGAAGAGTTACAAACAGACCCACTCTTTTGGTGCTTGTAACACACTCCTTGCTTGATCACTCAGCTGAATAAGGCCATTGTAGTCATCAGGTGCATACTACAGTACAAATGTGACATATGATTATCAGCAAGAGAAGGAATAGTTCTGGTACAGCAAGACACACATGATCATTTGCAACCATAATTAAACACATCATCTATAACAACTGGCAGGAGACAGTGAATTTGACAGATATTTTTATATGCAAGATAGAAAAAACCCTCTGGTTTATGCAAGATAACAAACTTCTGGAACTACTGATTGTAGAAACAGATTTAAAGTAAACTCATACGGGGAATATTCTAAACTGTTCCTTATCAAGGAAGGAAAATAGCTCAGACCACAAAGTGCTCCTTTTTTCCCTTCAACTTTATGAGACAGAAGCATCAGTACCAAAACTCTTAAGTTTGCATAACCATGCTTCCAGTAACAAGTTTCACTGGGACAGATGAGCACCTTCCAGCGTGGGAACTGAAGTGGGGTATTATGGATCTCATTCAGATCTTTCATGCAGTCATGGAAATAAATTGCAGCTTTCCTAGTGTAGAGTGATAAACACTCTAGCTGCGTGTAATACTTACATTATGTAGACTACACCTGCATACTTAAAGAAAATCCCAGCATGAATACACTTTAAGATAAAATAGCATTTATACTAATATAGGAAAAACTATACAGTGCGGCTGCACTGTGATAGATTTGTAGCAGAATATTAAGATATAGTGACTGCAAAGTACAGTCACACCAGTAAATTAAAAACAAAGCAAAAATGTGGATCAGATCTAGGAAATATTTGAGATCCTAAATCTGAGCAGTTATATATACTGCAGGGCCTGGTACAAATATAAAATCTATTGCCAGAAAAATAGATCTTGGGGAACATGAAACATTGTTTTGCATCTATCTTGTAATCTTCCCAAATTACATGTCCTGGAAAGGGACTGAGCATTCTTGCACATGGTGCAATGACTACTGGAGTGGCTCCTGTAATTCAGAAGACAAATACAAGTTACAGGGTATCATTTCAGTAGCAAAAAGTTTCCTGTCTCTCCCATACTAGCGTTTTAGAGGACTGAAAAATGCACACAATGTAGACATACCATGCTGTCTTTCTTTTCTATTTCTGTAATACAGAGTCTCCTGCCAGTTTAGGGAGAAAAAGATATTACATTCTGGCATACAAAACACATTGTATCCCTCCAAAGTGAAGTTGAAAAGAAAAAATACCAACCATCACAGCATATACCTTCCACAGAGACAATAACCAAGAGCCCAGAGAGCATAAAAGAAAAGAACCTCCCAGAATTTTACTACTGAATTCTAGCCACCTTCACATCTAGACCCATGCCATTAAGTAAAAGACAAATACAAGAAGTACCTTCTAGATAGTCTTTGCCAGGGCAACCAGACCGTGCAAATATTAGATTTATCAGTTCCCAGACCTGCCCTTGAAACAAGTCTACAAAATGTAAGTTTACTCTTTGGAAGGAATGTCTCAAGATAGTACATACTTTAGATTATCAGTAGATGTATAATAGGCAAAGATCTACAGTTTCTTGTGGGGGACAGTATTTAAAAGGTTGTGCTTGAAATGCACAAACAACGTAGGAAGGAAGGAAGAAAAAAAAAAAATCAAAATACCCAGCAACAGAAGCAACTCCTAATCACAAGAAAGGTAAAAGACTCCAGTTAAATAAAATAGAAATTGTGGAAGAGTAAGTTATTTAAACATACAGATTTTGAAAAGTAGTACTGCAAACCAAGCTTGAAAATAAAGGGGCGGAATTCTTATTCCCTGTGTATGAAATGGAAACTACCCTAACTTGCCTGAGGAAGTATGTAATCATGAACACTTTTGATTCTGTCTGCATGTCAGAAACCAATGAGAACAAAGCAAAACATTCAACTGTGCAGGACAAAGCGTGCAGCCAAGAGTAAACCTATAAGTTCATTGTTCAAAATAGAAAAGTTCACTAAGCCAGAATCTTGTAGTTTGTTTCCCATCCAAATAGGACAATACTGATGTAATATAAAACTCCACATTGTATATTCAAATACCTACACTTGTCACACAAATAGCTTGTAAAATGTTACCAAATACTGCAACACTCCCCCTTAAATTTAAAGTGTAATAAGATTAAAGCAGACCTCAATGTTAGTGTATCCACTACCCTCTTCTTATCCTGCTATCCTCTCATTCCCCCCTTCCTTTCTTCTCTGAACAGAAACACAGCCTCTTTTCTCAGAGCTGCTGCGTTCTTCCCTCCTCCCTGTGAGCTCACAGCTCCTGGGGGGAGTTGGACTTCCATTCCAACCTAGAAGTGTCTATTATTCTTTCTCACCCAAGGGTTTCCTCTTACTCTCGGTATGTCAATAGTAGCATTAAAATATAGTAGTCTAGATGATAAAAAGGATGAACCTATTTCTTAGAATGACTGAAGAAGAATGCAGAAATAAATTCAGACAATAAAGCAATTTCTTTTAACTTTGAGTAGCCATCAAGTAGTCTTGCTTAGTCTAGTAAGGAAAATGACACAAAATACCATACAAATTGAGAGTTCCACCAGAAAAGTCAGATGCAGAGTGAAGGTTATTAAGATACAATTCTCACCATACGCTCTGATTCTCAGCATATGCTATAACAGCTTCTTCTAGTGATCAGCGATGGGAAGTAGGACCCAAGAAAGCTGGACGCTAGGTATGGGATAGGCTTGGCATTTAGAATCATAATTAGAAGATAGAAGCAAAACAGAACCTTTGCAAATGGTTACTAAGTAAAAGTCTGGGGTCAGTTATTAGCTCTACAGCAGACTGAAAGATGACAAGAAGAATATGCATATATATATACACACACACACACACATATATATATATATGGGGGAAAAAAAACCCCACAGCTGAATGGAACAGAGATTCCAACAAATAGTGAAGAATGGCACTTTATGTTCCCTTCATTCTTTTTTGGTTATCTCCCTGTGACAATGGGAAATTTCACAGCTGAAGACAAAAACAAAATATTGTTTCCCAAAGGACATGTTTGCTCTTTACAGAATCAGCACTTTACCTTACAAGCATAAGGTAAATACCTCTCTAGATATTAACATTTGAAATGGAAGAGATATTTTAACTCATGTATATTAAATTATGTTGTAATATAGTCTATAATATTCAATAGCATATGATAATAAGTGACAGTAAGGGACAGATATATGATGAACAACACTAGCCCCCCAAAGGAGATGAACATTTATGACTGTAGTACAGTAACATCTCCTAGGTAGACCACCTGCTATGCTTACTACAGTGCAAAACCATAGTTTTGTATTAAAAAAAAAAAAAAAAACAAACCACAAAACACACACACACAAAAAACCGAAACAAAACAAAACAAAAGGAATCAGAGACAGACTGCTTAAAAACAAAAACAACAAACAAACAAAAACAAAAAAAAAATTATACTGCACTTTCCTTATAACTATTGTTTTCTTCTTTGTCCATGTTATTTCTTTCAGTACTACCTGCTATGTTGAAAGGAATGCGGGACTGTGTTTGCCCTTCACAGACTGTACGCAGATTTAAACAGGACACCAAACAGAAGGACACTGATTTCCATTTCATTTCTGTATCTCCTAGAGTAAGCATTCAAGGATCAGTCTAAAAAGGCATATGCAAAGCAACTTAGGGCAAATAAAAAAAAAATCCATTGCTAAAACCAAAATTAAAATAAGAAAGTATATTTAGATGTGACACAAATGGGGGGGAGGGGGGGGAAGAGGGAAAGAGGAAGAGAATGAAAGCTAAAAAGAAAAAAAAAATTTATATCCCCCTCAGAAGGGAAAACATCACAGGCAAAATGGCATTTTCAGGATTGCAGTTGCAATTCTAATCTGAACTACCAATAAAGTCTATTCTCAATAAAAGAAATCCATCTCTCAGACTTTGGAAAAAAGTTTAGATACTGTAAGCCTGGAACACAGAATCTGATCTAATGACCAGGTAATTAACCTTTGGCACAAGAGTGAGGAGACACACCCTAGCATGGCTTTGCCATTATCACTTGTACCCCAAGTGTGCCAATACAAGCACTGGCCACCACCTGAATGCTCTGTGGAACAGACAGTGAAATATGTAATACCTGTTCCCAAAAGTACAGCGTGAGGATGGTGCCACTTAGTCTCTTCAAGTGTGGAAGTCAACAGAAGAAACAGTAACCACTAATTTACTACACTCAGTTCCACAGATGCTTTCCCCACACAAATAACATTCCCAGGTGGGAGATAAATTTAGAAATAAAGCAAATAAAATAGACACTCTATTACAAGTGCATGGCAAGAGCATATAATAATATCTATATTGCCAGATAACTTCAAATACCTATGAGTGGGCATTCATCCTCTACCACATTCTCTTTCTCTTGCTTAGTCAGAAGGTGCTATGCCTGGAGCTGGCACACAGACATGGGGTATCCCTTTCAGACTATGAAGGGTCAGATTTCAAAAGAAACCCATAGGAAACAGAATACTTCTTTGTTCGAGCATGCAATTTGGAAAAAAAAAAAAAAAGAAAACAAAACAACAAAAACAAAACCCCCTAATCCCTAAAATGCAAGTAACAATGAAGCCTGCTGTCCTGATACAAGAGAAATGTTGCTAATGCCTTTGGAATTAAGCCATCCATCCACTGCCCTTCACTTCCTCATTACTGTTACAAGCACAAGCCAACGTCTTCCCCATCAACGATAAGCCTTGAATTCTGGGTCTCTGAAGACTTGGAGGATTAATATATTGCAAAAGCTCTTTTTAGCTGCAGATAAAAAGCACCTAAGCCCAGTACAGGTTTAAGGAACAGTATTTATTTTAAACCTCACTTACAAAAAAACCCCACATGTACACAAAGAAGTCCCTTCATTTCCACCCTAGACTTTTGCAGCACATTCAGGAGGCTTTAAGTAATGCTCAGATGATGAGCATGGCCCCTAAATCTTAGTCTTCTCCTAGTTTATTTTTTTACTAGTTGAAGCACTACCATAATTACACACAACTTACCTAAATAGGAAGTCTGCTTTCTAAGAACTAACCCACACAGATTTTTTTAGGCAGACATGAGTTCACTTTACATGCCAACCTCCAAAAAAGTAGCCTACTATTACTAAATACATGCTGAATGCTAGCTAAAATGGCAGTTGTGAATCAGCTTTTGGTCAGGTAAGACCATGGCCACAGTTAAATTGCACCTACTTGTACATAAACCTACCAGTTGCCAGAATACCAACTCTGCCAGTGCTGGCAATAAACCTGCATTCTCATAATCAGTAAAAAAAAAAAAAAAAAAAAAAAAAACTAAAATCAGCTCATTCTTTGGAGACAAGAAGTATTTCTCATTGATTCATCTAAAGATTGAAAAGTAAAATCCATGGAGGATTTAACTAGTCAATAAAGAAGATTACTTTCTAGCAAAGCATTTCATTTGTACAAACAACTACATGTAAATTCATCACTCAGCTACACCTGGTCCTTATTTAATTTCTCTCATTGTTTCTACATCTGTAGAGTGATGGCTTCAAGTAACAGAGTAGTGTGTTGCATGTAATTACTATTTTTGCACCAATTCTTCCTCAAACTTTTCCCCATAGGATCTGAAATATTATTTTTCTTAATTCTAGAAGCATATCTTCACAATCCGTTTTTTTTTAATTGTAATGGAAGTTTCCTGTAAACATCCATAAATCTCTTACTTTAACATAATGCCCATAATGCTGAGTCACTTGTACTCAAGACCTGTCAGAGCAATGACTATCATCCCACTGTGCTATCCAAACTGTACAATTGGGTTTCTTGTTGTGGTGGTTTTGGTTGGTTTGGGGTTTGTTGTTAAATATCTTTTATCTATGTATCTAGTATAAGATTGGAGTCAAATCAATAGCCCTGTTGCATTACAGTACAACTAAAAAGCAGGTTAACGTGAATTACTAACTGAATCAGTGTACTAATATTAGGTCTTTTGAAGATTACAGTACAATACTACACAGGAAGATGATGGGGAAAAATAACATCTCCAAGATTTACTATTAAAATTCCTCACAGGTTTTTCAAGATTGTTTAATGCAAGATACATTAAACACATGCAAGCTGGAAGGAATTCTCAACAATAAAAATAAGAAAGCAGAGCTACAAGAAGGAATCAAACTGCTGAACCACTAAACAAGGTTTGATACAAGTATATGAAAATTAAAATGTTGATCTACAGATTTTTACATTATTTATAAGAAGCATGTACTGATGTTGAGACCAGCTTTTTGAAGCCCATGATAAGCAAAGTCTATCTCTTAAGAGGCAGGTCTGGTATGAAAGATGCTTTCACTTTAAGTAGCAACATGTGCATACATGCAATATACAAAGCCCATCAAGACTGAAGGAAGAAAACAGAAGAGAATAAAGCAAGAACTGAAACTTAAAACCTGTTCCTTTCAGACAAGGACACAGAAAGACAAAAATCACACCCTTTGATCTCAGCATCTCTGATCTGGTTCCCAGAATACCAACAACTGAAGCCCACTGAATACCAGCATCAATTAGTTATACAGAGATTAAAACCATGCCCAAACCACTGATGATTACTAGGGGCTCACTTTATAAAGGAGCAGGAGCATCATGCAATAAACCCTTGGCAACAGCAGAAAATGAAAAAAATAATGTGATAAGAGAGGAAGGGGGAAGAAAAAATAATAATAATAAAAAAATCAGTTATTGCTCCAGAGCCATAATATTGCCCCAGTATAGCAAGTCACCACCTCTTTCTCCCCTAAAGGAATGAGCAAGTATAAAACTAGTATTACCACATGCGGGATTCCAAGAACAATGCAAAATAATTCCTTGGCTCCTTTCTAAGATACTGAACCCGATCTCATTTGGACAACATCTTCTAAAGAAATCAAAGAGGTGACCAATGTAATAACAGTAAATGAGGATGAAAAAAGGTTGCAGCAGAAGTATATAGTTTCCACCTTGTAGCAAAATTTCTATTCATTTGAAACACTGAATGGTGCAATAAAAACACTGTGAACTGCTCTCCAAAAGCAGAAACAAGGAAAAGGGGAAAACTCAACACCAGACTCAAAGTCCACATTCACCAAACTGAAGATCTAGTAGAAGACAGAGCTACTAGACATTGTCACTGACCTGTTCCACGCAAGGACAGGTTCAGGTCACATTTTTCAATGGTGCACTTACAGTTCTGGCTGAATTTCAATTCAGAAAATAGGCTTCTCCACTTTAGGTTTTAATACAACCACCATTCATCCACCAAAATGCCCAGTAAGTTAAAACAAAACAAAATCAAAAGTAAAATATCAGTGGCTAAGCAACAGATGAATGATTACTACTGTTTATCTGGAAACAATGAAAGCCACACATAATTGGTTTGAACTCTGGAAGTATCTGTTGAGGAAAAAGCTCTGTAATACAACATTTTGTTTCTTTTTAATTACTATCAAAATTCAACACACTTTTCATAAGCTGACTTTCAATTTTTCCACTGAAAAACCAAGTATATGAAACTGTATTCAAACACAAATGTACCATTTGAAAAGAAGCCACAACAGGTAGAGCACTGCATCTTCCAAAACTCAAGCATGCATGTCTAAGCATCAGTTCTCAGTCTACCTTCATTTACATAGACATCTGGCTCTACTAATTAAAGCCCATTGTTCACTAAGAATCCTAAAGATAAGACATATCATGCCTGAATGTTTCACATTAACTCCTGCTATGCATTAAAAAGAACTCATCTGCATCTTATGCTTTAGCAATACCACTGTTACACAACTTACAGAATTCTGAAGGACAAACATGCAAAAATTGTCTTTTTTTTCCACACCTATCACTTGAATGGGTCATTTGAAACCCACCAAAAGGATGTTATGTCAGGGCTTTGGCAGTAGTAGCAACAGAGTATTTCTGCTATTTGTGCAACTGCTTTTATGCACAGAAATTAAATACTCACCAGAATATAACCGTATTAAATTATCTTCCCTTTCAGCAAACATGTGATGACAAAACAAAGGTATAGGTACAATATCCTCCAAGAAAAAAAAAAGGCAGAAGACATGGAAGGACCCATTCCATGAATTTAAATAAGTGCTGCTGAAAAAAAACATTTGTACATGCTGCTTTGCTTTCTTGCCTTATATTTTTTTCCTTCCTTTTTCCCCCCCCCCCTTTTTTTTTTGGGGGGGGGGGGTTTGTTTTGTTTTAAATATTCCTCAAGTTTCTGTATGTTTGCTCACTGGCAGAGCACTGAATCAGCAAATTGGGACTGAAGTCACCTACAGCACACATAATATTTGTTACCAGTAGAAAATGGTTCATGAATACAGTTTTCCTTTAGGTTACAATGTAATGCAGTCTTAATGGAAAATGTTCCTGGCTGTAACCTAAACAATTAGTCCTTGAAAGAGTGTCTGACAGAGTGTCTGTCCCTCTCCTTTTGCAAGCAAGTTACTACATATATGCCACAGGCTTTTGTACTAAAACTTTGCCCCCAGCACGCTTTAACACCCAAGTCTTGAAGGTCAAACACTGTCCCTGCATAGGGCTTTCACCAAAAAAGGGCCAGAACTGAAAGCTCTTAGCAACCCCCACTTTTCCTCTGGCAGCCCCACTCACCCTGGGGCTTTGTGCCTTCTGCCTCCCTAAGCTCAAGCCCTAACCCTTAGACACCAAACTACTGCTGTCAAATTAGTATATGATCATTACATAAGAAATAAGGCAAATTGTGTAGACTTTGGTCTGCCATTTAAATACACAACATTAAATACACTTGTTCAGTTGTTTCCAACAACACCCACTTGCTCAGTTTGATCCCGACTGATCATTACTCAGGGGTCCAAATACAATACCAAGGAGAGGGGCTGCATACTCACCTGGTACCCCTGGAAGAAACTGATTATCTCCTTTATTCCTGTATTATATGGCAAGCCCTGCATACGGACTAATGCTCCAGGCTGGGGCAGAATCGGAGTGTGGGTGGCAGTGGCAGCAGCAGCTACAGCTCCTGGAGGTGCTGTAAGATACCCCACCGTGGTGGGGGATACTGGAGGACTGAAAGAGAAGGAAGCAAAATTGTTATGAAAACTAAAAACTGGTTTTAGTGCTTGAAATAAGCAAAAATGAAAATGAAAATTTTAATAAGCCCAAAACCCACAGAAATCCAATCAGCCCTGATGTGGGCTTTTAAAATTTCTCTTCAGCACCTGATAATTTATCAGATAAGACAAGGGAGGGAAAGGAGCATAGCTAACATTTGTAGTTGAAGGCAAACAGTATCATTTGTTATTTCACAGGGGAGAAGTAGTAGCTGCAGGTGATTTGTTCTAAGGCTGTTAAAAAAACCATGAGGAAAAAGAAAGTGAGGAAATGAGAGAAAGTCATAGTATAAAAAGCAGACAAGGGCTCAAAACTGCAACTTCTGAGCCACAAAACGTTGAGTAAAGTAGCAGCTCTAGTCAGGGCCCACCTAGCAATTTACCAGATGCTCTGGCTAGTAAGTGTCAGAAGCCTAAGAGCTATCAATGAGCAAGCTATTTCCAGACTTCAGTGAGCAATGTTGATACCATCTGTGGGAAGGGAAAAAAGTGGAGATCTTCTGCTCTGCTTACATGTTCAAAGTGTTATTCGGTTGCGCTGATATAAGAAATCAAACCTAGCACACACCTATGATGAGACTTCCAGTATGGAAACAGTATTTTAAGAACAAACTTGAGGGTAGAGACATGTATTGACACAGCCTCTCATTTGTCCAAGAAACAGAACCACCTTGATGACATTGCCCCAGTCTCAAAAACACTGTTAAATATTAGACCAACATTATCATGAAACTCAAACAGAACCTACAGAAAAGCCAAACTCATTACAAGGCCACAGAGAATCAGGCAAAATGACTACCACTTCTGTTGACGGACATCAAGTTCCCAGGATTATCTACACCAGAAAAACAAGTTTAAGAGCTGTTCACAGGTGACCGCACACATTGCCTGCTCCACTGAGATGAAATGTGAGGAGAAGCAGCTAAGTGTAGGGGTTACCTGGGGTAGTAAGTAGTGTAATTCATATAAAGCTGAGCAGCCTGAGCTGGATAGTAGGTAACAGTTTGAGGAGCAGTTGCAGAGGCTTGGGGAGTCCTGGTGGCTGGCAAAAGGGCTTGTGGCTGATAAATTGCTGCCTCTGCTGGGATCACAGCTGCTGCCTGGAAAGCAGCATAGGCTGGTGGAGAGAGACCTAAACAAAAAAAGGACAGAGCAACAAAAAAGGATCAGAATAGAGGTCTCTGCAATACGGAAGGAATTATTCATCCCAATATTCATCCCAATGTGATTAATACCACCTGGGTGTGAACACTTGTGCAAAGACCTCTATAGCCTCTCCCCTGGAGACCCCTGCTACATCATCATAAATGACAACGGGGACATTCAAAATAAGCAATTCCTAAGAGTTCACAACTCCTAGACCTGAACGACCTTGTTCATATGTAAATGCGAAATAGGGAACTGCAGAGTTATTCAAAGAAAGCATAAAGCCATGTGCATACAGAAAGCAGGCGTGCACACCAACACATCCTCTGTTCTTTCTAACAGAAGTTGTACTCTGTGGGACAAAAGTACCGTAAGATTAGCTACACATGGGCATCCACAGTTGCTGACACCAGGATCCTCATGTGTAAGCCTCTTGCAACTTCAGAAAAGTATTTGGGGGGATCTAGCAAATGGAAAAACTAATACCCTACTAGATCACTAGTCTAATGCATTTTCATGAACAAATACCTGATTTGTGTCAAAACATTAAGTTTGGCTTGGTGTGCAGTCAAATTCTTTTTATATACTATATTTGGCAGTTTTTTACTATTTTGCAAATACATGTTGATAATCTGTTTTGTTATTTGGTATTGCAATTAATTAGAATGGTACAGTAAATTTCCATTATAGTGCCACAATAAGGCTCACTGTAATCTTAAATTAAAAAAATTAAAAATAATAAAAAAAAAAGAAATCAGTCCAACTTCACTACTATGGTCTGATAGTATACCATCCCAGTGGGTGCTTTCCTTCAAAAGTAAGCCCAAAGAGTACCTTCTGAATGCTCTAAGGCAAGATAGCAAGAGCACTCATCGGCAGCTAGAATCTAGAATTTCTCCCCATTTAATAATCCCTCTAATTCCAAGTAAATTACACTACAGGCAAGTCTACTGCAGAGCTCAGAACAGTACACCCCCAAAAAGCAAAGTGTGCAACAATTTCACTGGCAAGGCCTTGCTGCCCCCTACTCATCACCGAAAATACAATAAAAATGCCTCCGATCAGTCCCATTATTGACTAAAGGGAACAATTTAAATCTCAGCATGTACACAGATGGATGATTATTGATCATGGCAAAACCCAAGTCAAAAGGTGAAAGGCCACAAAGCTTCAGCACCTACCACATATCAGCCTTTAGCAGCGAAGAGCAGAAGAATTGGAGACTTACATGGTAACTTACATGGCGGTGGGGATAAGCCACTACGATTTAAAGTGCCACCCATTAAAACAAAGTTCATCTCCTCTCCTGAACACTGGAATACTTCCACATAACGATCCTTCATCATTTTTTTGTGACATCTTTGAGCTACCATATAGGCTTTATCAGCAGATTTCATTTGGATAAAAGCATCACCTGATGGTCGCCCCTGTGGGATGGGAAAGTAATCTGTTATTAAAACAGCCAGGACACTAGAAATGCAGAAAGAACAGGGATCAAATGTCTACTGAAAATCTGTATTGCTCTTTCTCATCTGGCACCAATCACTAATAACTCAACAATTATTTTTAGGAGCAGAAAGGCAAGACTCATATAATCGGCCAGTTAACACAACTCTACTTCGACCTTCTGGAGGAAGAGAGTAATTTATCATGGAGACAAAGTTTGGAGGCCTCTAATTCAAAAGATGTTCAAAGCAGGGCTAACTTTCATCAGGCCACTCACGGCCTTCTACATTTGAGGCTAAGATTCCAGAGGATCTCTGGGAACCTGTTTTAGTACCTAAATAACTTCTATTTATGATAATTTTATTTTTCTTTCCTTTTCACCTAATTGGAGTTTTCCTTGATGCAGGTTATAAACACTGTCTCTTATTCCATAAGCTGTAGGAAGAGTCTGGTTTTGTCTTCCCTTTAACTGTTTTGTAGGTGATAGTACAAAAATATAAAGCTCCGGACATGCCTTAGTAAGGTCCATAAATACATGAGAAATTGACTTCCAGGTCTGATTTTCTGCGATCTGACAGACATTGCTGTATATGTAAGATATTTAAAACTTTCTTAACAAAAAACAAAACTAATGTAGCAAATCTCTCATTTATTTTCTTTAGTACCTCAATATTTCTGTGGCTAATTGAGCTTATTTTTAATAAAATACAACAGGGAAAACTATCCCTGTGATTATGTCATTAAAATATATCCAAAGCACAATTTTACATTATCATCTTTCTTTAAAACCGGATAAGTGCCTACTCAAGTTAGAAAACTTCTTTTTTCCACAGCTACCACTGAGAAGAAACCCTGAAGCTGACAGAGCATTTACACTACCAAACATGAGACATCTCTGTCTTGTGTATTACCTGAACTTGCCTGAAACACAAGGGACCATTTAAGACAGCCTCCAGGATAAAGCTATTCTTAAAGAACCAACTTCATCCTCCTTATTCTAATGCATACATATATAGGAAGAAAAACGTGCATGTAAAAGTGGAAGAGAAATGAGGAAAAGTCACAAACAACAGTATTTTCTCAAGGTTACAGAAGACAAAGCACAACCAATAACAGGTAAGCTACCCTGACTACTAACCCTGTTCAGTAACAGGAAAGTTAGCTCTCCTATGCAAAATCCTGTTACCTGTTGATTGAAGACCATGTGAATCCCGTGGGGCTTGATATCCCCTGTGGCATCTCCCATGAATTCCAGGATGTCATCAATGCCAGCAGTGTAGGGAAGGCCTCTGAGCCGAACACAATCACGTACACTACCCGTGGCAATGGTGTATGGGGAGGGTATGACAGGAATGATGGGAGTTGGGAGAGTGGGAATAAGAGGTGTTGACATATATCGATTAAGTACCTGTTGGCAAAAAAGAACACAGATAGAGATTAACACACCATCTTGCTGAATACAAATCAATTCTCACAATACAATGTCACATACTTAATTAAATCCACTTCCAACATCAGAGGGAAAAAATCCAAAATAAAACCAAACCTTCTCAAACCAAATGATTTCTGATTGTTTCCTTTTGAGCGTCTAGTTTCAAAATCAGAAGGGGAGAGGGGAAGTCTAAAATATTTAATTTGCTAACCCCTAATAACAGACCTTTCTAGTATCTAATAATAAATTAAAAGCAGATTACAGTTTATTTTAGAATATCCCAAAAAGGAACATCTGAAAATCACATTTGTCCTAATAAACCAGTATTGTCACATCCAGTTCTTACTTAAATTAGGGTAAATTAAAACCAGTCATTCTAGAAGAACTGAAACCTTAAATAACTAACAAATAAAAACAGTGGCTCTAATTAATTAGTAAAATTTGACCAGTTAGTGAGGGTGCTTGTTTTTTAACCTGAGTGCTCATCTCCAAGCCCAGGGCAGGGAGGAAAATATTAGTATTTAAAAACAGGGATAAAGAACTATAGGAAACCTTGATCTCAACATTTTATTTTCTCTTGACTCACTCCCAAATGACAAAGAGAACATAACTTGCTGCTGGGATATAATGCTGAAAATCATATTTAATGATGATTACCATAAATAAAGAAAAAAAGATTTCACTCTTTTGTAAGAGATACTAAACAAGAGGTTTAGTTTTGTCAGTACTGATTCAGAGTAGGGAGGTTGTCTCAACAGAAGCCTTTTTTCAGGAATTTATTTGTAGCACAATACAGGCCAGAAATCTCTCTTATTTGCAAAAAGATTGTACTGACTTTGTATTGACACTAGATAGCTGGGAGCTGGCTTTACCTCTTGTTATTACTCAAACAAGGAGCCTGTAATTCCCTAAAAATCATCTCTTGCTTAAGCAGGGGAGAGAAAAAAAAAAAAAAAGAAAAAAGAGCAAAAATCCAAAACTGTCATAGAGGAAGAAATAATCGTAGAATAGAGGCTTTATTCTGGTCTCCATAACAAAAGTGAGAGCAGACTTGGTCACTGTGGCATAAAAATGCATCATGGGATGCATTTTCACAAGCTTGAGTTGCTGGTGCCTATACAAAATGGTTGTACCAGTTTAAGAAGGTGATGACAGGAATTGGTGAAGGACAAAAGTGAAACATCTTAGTAAAACAGGTATTTCACTTCCTTTCACCAAAGGTCAGATACATCCTGGTAATTCTTTATTACCAACAAAGCAGTTGGAAAAAAGCTGATTTAATGCATCCAGATTTGAATTTAATATTAGAAATTATGTACACAGAGACCAGAATTTAAAGACAACACTGCAGATTTTCAAGAAGCATCACTACAGTACTATCAATCTAGTATGTTTTTAGAATTATTTGTGTAATTTCAGTCAACCTTGAAGAAGTAGGAAAAACTATCCCATCATTTTTACTTCGGAATCCGAGGGATGTTAAAATAAAAAAAAACAAAAACAAAAAAAATGTGGCAGTAAAAGAGCAAACAGCAAAAACCAAAAACAATGCTGTGCAATTTTCCACAGCAATCAGGAAGCACATACTGCCCTTTCTAGAACTTGACATCCTTTATGTAACAGACTTTCTATTGGTTGTCTACAACACATTTATGTGCAAGCATTAGAAGAAAACAGTTTTAACTGTTAAGTTTCAAGTCTCATTGCCAATAGCTACAACCTGTTGGACTTCTGCTGCTGTGCTCCTGAAGAGTTCAATGTAACGTTTTCCAAGTATTTCTTTGTGCTTTTTAAGTGCATTCTGTGCATATTCTTCACAGGAAAATAACACAAATGCGTCTCCTGTGGGCCTGCCATCTGGGTATTTAACAAAGAGAAGTCCCTCTTTCCCTCCTGTGACTGGACACTCTGGCCCCAGGAACCCTAAGACATCCTCCTGGGTAGCAGTGAAGGGAAGGCCTCTCATCCGGATGATGACTTGATTCTCCTTAGATAAGAACTGGGCCACTTCATTGGAGGTGCCTGGTAGAAAGATAACAACATATGCCCAGTCAATTCCATAGGCTGCAGGAGCAGCAAAGCATTAAGGAGTAAAAACAGGAGATTAGTAGCTAGCAACAAACCCACAGAAGACCTGAGATAATACTAACACCCAGCAATCTATTTTGAAATGAAAATCCCTTACCCTGAAACTATCTCATATTTTTATGAAATTGTAACAAAAATGGGGTGAGTGTGAACTTACACAAGATACACAGATGCTTCTACTGTAAAGGCTCATCTTCCTCCCTAACAGCAAGATCTGGCTGTGAACATCACAGCCCAAATGCTCACAACTCAAATTCAACCATGTGAAACCAGAACTTGACAGGGTCAAGTATTCTTGGAAGGCAAAGCAGGGAAAGCTACTTTATTATCTACTTGTGTCGCCAGCCAACAGGAAAAAAAATAAAAATAAAAATGAAAATATCATAACTAGTACTATACTCCTATGAACCTAAGGAATCAAACTGAACTCCAGCATCACTTACCTCCTGCAATTTTTAAGAATTCTTCCCCAGTTGCTTTGTAAACCTTAAAGAGAAAGAAATTTTAAAAAACTCGCAGGAAAATTACAACATTCAACTCCAAAACACACTCTTCCACATGTCAGAGAATTCTGTTTTGCCCAAAATACCAAAACGCAAGTGCAGTTTTTTTCTCATTTAAAACTGTAGTTTAAAATAGCCAGTTTCCTCCCCAGAGATTTATTTCAGGTCACTGGTTCTTACCTCGATGTATCTACTACCCATGTGATGCTTATGTCTTTCCAGTGCAAGATCTCTCTGCTCAGAATTGACAAACCGAACTAATGCCTCCCCATTTCTCCTTCCTTGAGCATTCAGACAAAGAGCCACACCACCTCTGGAAGGTAAAACCAACAAAAATAAACTTAGTCTGAATCTTTAATACATTTAATAAAAATTACGTAAGAATAGTAGGGAAATCAGACTTTGACATGGAGTTTACAGATTAGAAAAGAAAATGCTACTACACATAATTTAATTTCATTTTTTATGTAACACAGTTATACTGCAGAATCCCCTTCAGTGAGATCCTGGATCTCATGCTGTTCACCACTTTCTCAGCTTCCATGCAGATATAAATTTGCAAGACCCTTCATCACCTCAGAAATGCAGATTTGAATTTCCTTATACCTCTAAACAGAAGAAAAATAGGCCCTCTCTGTATTAAGAAACTGGAATATATATTAATTGACAGGTATGCTAAATTAAACTTACTCTCTCTATATAAAATATATATATATATAAATACACACACACACACACACACATACACACACACAGAGAGAAAGGTGCACACGCATCAGTCATACAAAAATTTCTTCCAAACAGCAGTTGGATGTTTCTGAATCCAGCCTGTTTAGGAGGTGTAACAAGTATTGAAAAGTTGACACAAAATTCAACCTTCTTTTACATCTTGGAATCTACCTTGATTAATGCAGTTAGGAGTTTCTCCCTTTCAGTACTAGCAAAAAAAAGAAAGAATTTTGTTTTTTAACTAAAAAGTCTCTTTTCTTTTCCACTCATAACTCCTTCTTGCACACCGAAGTCTGGTAAACCTATTCAGTTATCATGACCACTGGGTACAAAGGGGCCTTGCTGGGGAAAGATAGCAGTGAGGGCTCTAGTGGGGGATGTGTGTTAAACAAATACTAAAAAAACTTGCTATAAAGACGAAGTGATAAAGCAAGACAAGTTCTTTATTATCTTACTTGGCAATGTTGAGTCCTTTGAAAAACCGAGCAATATCTTGGTCTGAAGACTGCCATGGTAAACCCCTGGCACGTATTACCGTCTCACTGTTCACCATTTCAGATTTACTACTGCACAGAAAGGAGAAAAAAGTCAAAGTAAGCTTTAATCTAGGTTTTCCTTAACTTAGCAGATTTCAGTTTACTACTAATTTAGCTTGCAACTCTGCGTATTTGCTATTAAGTCTCTTCTAATTCTGTTAATCATTTTAATAAAGCAAGAAAAGATAACTGGGTTAATCCTTTTATATACGCAATGCCTAAGATACACTATGTTGTCAGCATGTTGCAGTTCCTTAAAAAAAAAAATAAAAAATTGGAAGAGTGTCTCAAAGTGAAATAATAAGGAACTGGATTAATCTTGTTTGGAAAAATCAAGCAATCCAGCATAAATTGTTATAAAGGCACTCATAATTATGAATACATAGAATATGCTCAAGATGTTCCATTCTCAAAGAACTAGTCTGTTTCTTCTCTCCCTAAATCCAATATGCAATACAAAGCATATTAGATCACTCTTCAGAAGTACCATGTAGTTCAGCAGCATGCACTAGATATTACCCCTGTTGACTTAGGGAAAGTTCACAAATATTTCTTCGCTGCTGGGTAAGATAAGTCATCCTCGCTGCTGTGCTAAACAGAAACTAAAGAACAAAGAGCATTTAACTTGCAGTGACTCTAAAGAGATGGTCTAAAGTACAGCATTCAACATAAAAGCTATAATCTCTCTGTACTAGGAGGCTGAATACCCTGTTATTGTTTTCAGGGTTAACCTACTTTGACAGTGACAATGGGGAAATATCCATAAGCTTTCCTGGCTGAAGACAAGTTTCATCTTTGGTTGTAAACAACCATGACAGAAGTACTTACCAAGGACCTGTTTCATACTTCTGTTTCACATTTTCAGGCTCAGTAAATAAGTGACCTACAACAAAACAGGAAGTTTAAATATAACTAGGGTCAGAGATTACTTAAGAATGACAGTACCACTGCCAATTCTGGAAAAAAGAAAAAAAAAAAAAAAAAAAAGTCCAGTAGTCTGTATTAATAGTTCACTTACTACAACTTTCAGAAAGCATGGTGAATATTATAGCCACCATGGTTTTCACTTGCCACACACCAAAGTCTTCCTCTGCTTCATCTGTTCCCAAACCTAGATCTAAACAGGTGATTATAGAAAATAAAAGACTTGCACAATCATTTGTAAACAAGCCATAAGGCTTTTCTGATACTAACACAACTGGTAATCAAATTTACTGGTCTTAGCTGAGACACGTGACCATTAGACACGTTACTCTGCTCATAAATCAGTTAATATTCACTTTAATGGTCAACAGTCTAAAAACTACTGATGGCTTCATCATTTCAGCATTAGCAGTTAAAAAAAAAAAAAAAAAAAAGAGGCTAAGTAAGTTCCTTTCACTTCAAACACAATTGAACATTAACCACATTCAGCTGGGCCACAGCAATCCTCCTAAAATTTAGATGTAAGGTTTTTAATTTGTTTTATTGTTGCTGGTTTGGATTTTAGGGTTTTTTTTAAAGCATCATGAAAGAGAACTATTACTGTCTGCAAACAGCAGAAGCTTACAGGCAGCTGGTACTGAAAAGGCCCACTGATAGCTGGCCCCTCTTTTAAGATCAACTATCAGTGTAAGCCATGTTTTTCCTTATTAGATTTATTAAATATGGTTTAGAACTCAGCATCAGACTCAAATTGAAAACAAAAATGTATTACAAGCAGAGCTGCTCCTCCCAACCCACACTTAAGTGAGCATCCTTCTATTTTACCTGTCAGTTTTTGAAACCCACATCTTGGATTAGAAGAATAAAACCTGTGATGATCACAGAGATAAAAAAACTAAGGATGCAGAATTGATTCTGGCACAGAAGCTGAAGCAAAAGGATACATTCTGCCATGGTCTTGATAGTCTGATCTTTCACGGCGGCTGAACTAGGGTAGCAAGTGTGAAATTCTTTGCGCAGATCATAAAAGGAATAGAAGCAGTCTGACAGCACGAAGTTCTACAAGGAAGGCAAAAAGTTTGTTTTGAACACACCATTCCTTTAAATTCTGATTAATATTTTTGGACTGAACGAGGTAGTCTTAAAAATTACATAGTTGCATGTCACCAGCTTGTCTGTGATAGACCAGCTTAGTTCCTTTGAGACACAGTTCAAATGCCATAGCCTGACAGCATTAGAGCTCCAGATGAACAAACCCAAAAAACTTCTCAGAGGCAGACCTGTGCAAAACAGCTGGACAAGACATCTGGGAAGATTAAAAAAAAATAATTTAAAAACCTACACTGTGCTGTTTTATAACCACTCCCATTTAGGATACTGTATTTTCTCTTTGTGGCTACTCTGAAAAGCAATAATGAACTGAAACATGATAACAGTGTACAAAATATCTTCCAGCAAGTTAAAGATGTTTCTTCATTACTGTCCTTTACTGGATAAGAACTTTAATTATTGGTTTTATCTGTTATTATTTAAAAGTACTTAACATTGTTAATCAAACTTTAAAACAGCACTTCACACCAACATTAGCTTATTTTTCAAGGGATAAACCAGATAATTCTGGCTTAATTCACTACTTTCTCACTCTCCAACTATTTTACTACATAGAAATTTACTTCAGTCTAGTCAAACAGCACTCACCTTTGTAAATAGAGAATTAAGAAAAGTCACCAGGTAATGTTTCTTATAACAGTAGGAAGAGCAAGAGCCAAGATCTGAGGCTTATTAACATTTTTGGGGGGAGAAATACACTTTTGCAAACAAAAAAGTATCGTAGGAGGGAAAAAAGAAAAAAAAAAAAGAAAAAAGAGAAAGAAATGCTCTAATAAGAGGCTCAACACTTGATCAGTTCCATTCCTTGATCTGGTATGGACAATTATTTCTTCCACAGCATTACAGTGTTAGTTTTGTTTTAGTTTATTTGATTCAATAGAGAAGTACAAAGAATTACCCACAAAAAACGGTACTGTCATGTTTGAATGTTAAATATCATTCCTTTTTCCTTACTTACTTTATCCCTACACAAACAGGTGCTTTTCATAAAAAGTCAGTGTTATGTTTTAATATAACACAAATACCAAATGAATATTTGTAGAAACTCAGCGTGAGCCAATACCCTTATATATATATATATATATATAATAATAATAATAATAATAATAATAAAAAAATACAACTGGTCAGTCAACTCCTTCCATGTCAGCAGCTGTCATTCCTGTGGGGTTCCTACAGACCCTGCCAAGCAGGTTAACCCATGAGCCACCACCCTGCACATAGGCAAGATTCTTCTCCCTGTGCAAGACAGTCTGCTCTAAGCCCTTTCAGGAATGTAGAAACTCCTGCTTCATGTGGGAGTAGCAAATAAGTTGTAGTAATACTTCCTACTGAATAAACACAGATGGGGAATCACTGCCATTGTCCAGGGCAAGTCACTGCCTGTGTGCTTACTCTCTACAGGACACTGACACATGGCTCCTACCAGTTTCAGATCTTGGTAGAAATCCATGGATCCACATAGAACCTGTGGATTAACTCAAGCCTAAACAAGGCAGTAGCTCTCCATCACCATTGCTGAGGTTAACACTGTACCTTTGCTTCCATTTCCCAAGACCCAAAATTTAAAGTACTTGAATTGCTCCTGTTTCTAACCTCTTTCCTAATTTTCCTCTTTATTACACTCATTGGGAGTCTTCAAGTATTGTAGCTAGCTTCTAAGAGTAAATGCCAATAACTACTTCTCTACTACTCATGTCTGAGACAGGGTGGGGATCATATTAAATATCCCTGGATCACCACAGTTCTCAAGGTTGAATTGTGTTGCTCATAAGTTATCTTCTTTGATGTCCTTAAAACACAGTACTGCCCTTCTACAGCAGTTCGCATCTCATACCTTCTTAGAAGTTTCTGGGTGGAGGACTTGTCGAATGAGTAACTGGCCATCACTGCAGAGTGTGTAATTGCTCCTTCCAAGTACTTTCAAATCACTGGATACCAGCTGACTAAACTGAAAAATAAAGCAATAAACTTTACTGTAATGACCAATATAGGTAATTCCATAAAACGAGCACTTACCACTACTAAAACACTTATTTTTAAGAAAATAAAATAATTCAGCACTTCCCCCCCCCCCCCCCCGCCCCCCCCAAGCCGTTGCAAACATGCTGAAGAGCAAATCCGGGCTCCTGAGAAAGGCAGGCAAATAAATCATATGCATTCGTGGAATAGAAAATAAGAACACCAACAGTATGGTAAAAAGAACCATTAGGACAATGTGGCAGAATTACAAGCTCATATGAAAAGTCATGCTGTTATACTGGTAATGTTCAACTCTGAACTATAACAAAAACTATCAAATATTTGAAAGAAAAAAAAATTCAAATTCAATCACAATACTGATTTTGCAATAGCCAGTCATCAGCATTTATTAAATTTTTGAAAGTTATATGTTAAGAAAATCCAAACAAATGTGGTCTGATTCTTTCAAAAGTGAAATTATAATCAAGCTGGATCCAAACAAATGAAAGTTGTTGGTGAAGAACAGTGTTACAAACACTAGCTAATAGCTAATAACTATCCTATTTCCTGGTTCTGGATGCATAACCCCCAACAGTTAATTCTCAAGAGGAAAGGATTCAATTTCTCTTGCTCGGTGTTATTTTCCATCCTTTTATTACTCCATACTAGTGTCAAATTCTTTGCTCATAATAGTCAACTAATGTATTATAGTACCTACACGAACTGAATCAGTAAGTGGTAGCATGTTAGCTAACTTTCCAGGGGACAGATATAATTATTCTAAGTTTCCCTCTTGATGCAACAGCCTCCCAGGAAAGCCTCACCTCACAAAGCAAGCAGTAATTAAGCTCATGATGCAGAACCCACCCACTGCTCTAGGCAGTAGTTTGCATCTCCAAAACAACCGCCCCCAAAACCAAATTACAAGTTGACTTGAAACTCAGACAATATCTTTATGCCGTCTTTTAACCTGTACTGAGGTAAAGAGGGTTGGTTTATCATCAACGCTTTACATAGTTACATTCTCTGCTCAGAAAATAGTATGTTCCAATGATCTGATCCCTCAGCTACACTGCATTCACTGTGTGAACAAATGTTACAGATTTGTGTCCCAAAGGTAAGGCTCCTCAAGGGAGAAAATACATATAGAACATGAGGAGCAGAGACATGATCGCCCATGCTTTGTTTCAAAACAATGTCTCAAATACAGTTCAGGCCCCTTTCTAGGCTTGGGCAGCTAACCAGCTTTCCACAGCCACTAAGAGTTCAGAAATGCTGTAGTAGTGGCTACTACACACCCAGACAGATAACTGAGGCACAGAGCAGGGTAAGCAGAGACACTTACATAAGCATCTTGTGCAAGCTGCTTAATTTGCAGATAAAAAAATACCGATGTAGATAGAAATCCATAAACCAAAGTTATTTTATATGAAGTAGGAGATAATTTAAACCTTAATAAGGTTGAAATATCCTTCCAAAAAAAAAAAAAAAAAGCCTCTACAATGCAATTTCTTTGGTTCTGTGTGTTTTGGTAGTGTGCAAACACTAAAATCGAGCAACCAATCCTAAGTCTTGCAGATTCAGAAAGCCAGTTTCCTTCTGACTGCGAGGTTCAGGTTGTGTTCCTACCACAAGCTGAAGTCTTGAAGAACCTGAGGCTATATGGCAAGTCTTTGTTTAAGGGTAGCTTAAAGTCAGAAAATTGAGATCTGAGAGTGCTCAAAATACTTCTGCTGATACGTAAACACCAGAAAAGGATAAAAATTCCAGAGGACTTGAAAGGAACCACTTCAGAATTGCAGTTCTGGGGACTGACACCATCACAGACCAACAAGAAATGAGAATGTGAGCAAATATTCACACCATAAACATGAGAAATGCTTTCTTACTAAATACAGGACCATCTTACTTTCTGTTTTAACTTCTGGGCACAGTAAAGAGCAAATATTTGTAAAAAGGGGTTGGAAATGGTGATAGGAATTAACCTCCAGAAGGTGTATTCTTGCCAAAAAGGAAGCAGAGTCTTACTGATGGAACAGTAATAAAACACTCCCCAAACCTTCAACTTCGTACCCTGTGCTTCTTGTTTCTGAAAGTGCATAAGAGCCTATATAAAGAGTACAATTAGGGAGCTGTTTTGATCAGCAACAAGAAGAAATCCAACACACACAATCTGAGGGAAGTATCAAGTGTATGCAGGCGCCTGCTCTAGAAATAAAACATAAGAACTGTAGTTTTAGAGTCTTCAAGTCAGAAAACAAGAGGAGAAAAATGTTTGGACAAGGGAGAAAATGCTCAGGCAGTTTAAGTTATGTTGGTAAAAATCAGTTTTGTTGCACTGAAATGCTTACATTTTTTTTCAGATGGTATATCCCACACAATGTACAGTTGAAAAGACTGCACAGCTATTTTCAGAAGGCTCAGAGAAGATACCCAAAAGAGTGAAATACTGCATAAGGACACCAATAAGCCAAATATTCCAAGTGTACTACGGTTTAAAGAAGGCATAAGAGGCAGCATTGTTTTTATTTTCAACTGAGCCAAAGTATTTGCCCTGCGTATTTATTAAATGTCAGTGATAACATGCAACACTGCAAACTCCTTTCCAGTGGAAAAAATCACCACATCAAAACTATTCTCTACTTTTCTTAGTAGAGCCTAGCAGCTTACAGTTGCCACATGGTTGGCAGGCCCTGTTCAGTGCTTATTTAGAAACTCCTATTTTAAAACCCAGCCTTTTTCAAACTTAGGAGTGTACTGCTCCAGAAGAGGGCAAAAGGAGTGTGGGAAGAATAGTCAGAAGACATAAACAATGCTTCCTATCCAAAACAGCTTAACTACCACATGGGCTAACTGAGGAGAGGAATGGGGTAGAGGAGTGTGAATGGGAAGATTCACCCAAAAGAAAAGCATGGGGCAAAATAGTGAGTAAAGGACCACCACACAGATGGCATGCACTTGGGATTACCCTGAACTGGGTTCTTTCATCTACATGAGATATCTCCAAATTTTGGAAAAGTTAAGTATGAAAAGCATGTCTGCTCTCATTACTATAGATTACACTGGACCTCAGAGTCTCTCAAGCAATAAATACTGCCTATCACATGTATCAAAAGGAGTTAAAGCAACCAGTGCAGATATATTTCAGTGTGGGTTTATGAACGTAAGTTAAGCAATTCAGTGTTCCTGAGCAAAAGCCATCTTCAACCTTCTTTTTCCTCATTATAAATTTCAGGCAGCATCTCAAAAATCAGCCTCAAACCAGCACACACCCAAATGTTGCAAGCTAAGGACAAGTTACGACCAGTGCCAGATTTACATTACAATTTCTTTCTTACATGTTGAACAACCTGTCCACAACTCTGTCATTTCATAAATTTCATCCACATCTTCACTCCACTAATAAAAACCATCTCAGCTATTTATGTCCTGTCATTCACCTTCATGCTGCCCTCCACAGCACTCCCCCAACTTTAGCTTGCAAAGCTGCCCCATCTTAAGACTTCCTCCACCAAGCTCAAACACCCTGTGTCTCCCCTGTTAATATACTCATTTCATAGCAAGTTAGAGTGCGCTATTTACCACTGTTTTCATCTTGCAACAGCCCTCATTTCAACTTCAAGAACCACCATCTACTTTCACCCTCCACCTTTTATTGATTATCCCAGAAGATCAGTCTTTTAGGAGAGTTGATGAATTGTTCCATATTTAAAGGAATGTATTTAATAATTCAATACTGAGATTAAAAACTGTATTCAGTAATTCAATTCTGAGATTGAAAACTGAAGAGACAGAAAAAGAAGAATCAAATAACTTGCTCTGTACATTTACTTCCATGAAACTCAAAACAGTTCTTGGAGAAGAGGTGGTAAGAGGGAAGGACAGAGTTTGAGCACCAGTTTGAAAAACTGGCTGAACAGGATTTTGGTGGTGTAGCTGAGAGTACAAAGAGAATGAAGAGACATGTTTTGCCAGCAGCAAAGCTGGATGACAGCCAGCACAAGCTGATGTGCTGCCTGCAAATGAATCCCAAGTGGCTGAAATGATACAGCCCCCTTCGAATTGCCTTAACTACAACTCAGCAAAGCTGTGGATCTTAGAGAAACAAGATGATTTCTGATTAAGCCCTTTATATAGTTATGATACACAAAGCACTAAAATAAACCTCTGGCTATTTGAATATTCCCATTTCCCCACATAAAAATAGCTTGCATCCTTGAGAAAGGCCACTGCATCTGTGCTGTATCTGTGCATAGCTTGGTAATGAAATACTAAGATAATCCAGTTACAGAATGCACCCACACTGTCAACTGAACCATTTCTAGAACACCAGCATGCTCTGGGGGAGAGCCTCTTTAGTTCACCTCTGAAGAAACAGGAAATCTGGCTGCTGCTTTGTCAGAGCTACAGCAGCTCCTAATGTGTCTTCAAAACGGAATCCTTTTCTTTAGCAGCACACAAGGCTTCTCTGTGTTGGCTCTTTTAGCCTTACTGACCTACCACAGCTAATGGCACAAGACAAGACAAATTATTCACATAACTTCAGAATTAAAGGCATCCTTGCAATATAACCAGGTCTGGAATGTTACGGTAAAGCATAATGTAAAAATCCAGAAAGAAACTCAGCTTGTAGTCCACATTTCAGCTAAATACGCACCTATTCTGGAATAGAAAATGTAAGTTATTAATAAATCTTTGAAAAAAGGGTAGTCCTCACAGCATGGGGACCTGATTTCTAATCAATGGTATTGACAAGTATGTTACTAAATTGCCAAGAGATAACAATTTAATGATTACACATGAATACATGACCAAGTTTCTGCCAAATTAGCATATAAAAACCTGCCCATTTTGACTTCTATACCATCTTTACACCTAGATGGGAGGAGAAATCACACCTGTTTCAGTTAAAAATTAAGACATAAGACAGACATGATACTTGAATTGGAATAAACAAAACATGTCAGAAGTATATGATCATGCTTAGCA